GGAACTAGAAGTAACTCTGTACACATATCACAGTGCAAAACTCTGGTGCCTGTAGACATCATAAAGTGTTATTTTGGAGTGAATGTTTTTATATGATAAGTAAGAATGAAAGTATTAGCTAATTGTAAGAGAACAAAGAAGATCTCATGGTAGTTTATGCTTTCTCCTGGGCTAAAAAAAAAGCATACTTTTTTTTTCTTTTTCAGGCCATGCATGGACTACTGAAGATTTGTTGGCTTCACATGATGTGCTGTGAAAATTGTTGCCCTCCAGTAGCACAAAACTGTTTTCTGTCTTGCTAATGTCCAAGAATGGGGTCCACGAGGAGGTCCAATTCTGTTCATCAATTTTGCTAGTTAATACTTGCTTTCTTCTACCACCAGTTCTGAGCAGGAGAACTGGTATCCAGATTGCCAGTGCTTAGGATACAGTAAGCTCCTGTACTTTCTTAGATGACCAGGAGAAGAGTAGAAGGGACAGCTGGGTACAGGACAGCTACTTCTGTCGTGGGTTTGCAGGACGGGCCCAAATGTTTAGCTCTGGACTTCTGCTCTCTTGTTTCTGATCTGGCCCTTACCTCATACAAGGATCAACGAAATCCTTGGTTCTCCCCAGCCCTGAGAATAGGGCTAATAACTGGGTTCTCAGAAGCTGCTAGTTCTTATCAGTTTCATTGTTCAGCACTGCTGTGAGAGGAGGAAGGGTAACCATGGAGATGATTTGTTTCTTGGATGAGAGACTGAGGTACAGACAGTTGAAGGACTTTAGCCACCTTCCCACCCAATGTACCTGTCTTTCTGGGACTCCAACCTGTGCTCCAGAAGTATATGTATGACACAGATGTGCTACCACATCTTCCAGTTTTGTATGGTCTAGGGTACCCAGGTGACAAGTAACGTTAAATGTCTATATTTAAGCAAGTGAATCAAATCTGAAGTGATGTGCCCAAGGGCAAAGGATTGGTTCAATGCTTTAAAGTGTGAAATGATAAAGAAGAGTTAATTACTCAAAGAGAAATGGTGTCAGAAATGCATCATAACAATTCTGCACTCAGGTGGCTGGTTTTTATCTACATCTAATACATTTACTGTCAAGTCTCTTGTTTTTGAAGACTTGCATGCCAATGCTCAAAAAACCCTGAAGACCCAGGGGAATTATCTGAGATTTGCACATTAAGATTGTTCCATTCGCTTTCACAATGGACAGTGGAAGAAAACAGTTTTGGCCCATACTCCATGTACTCCTTATTTCTAGCCATATAGTCCAAGTTCTGTCTATTCAAACTCACTGGCCTGCTGACCTCATTGAGATTTTTGAGCATCATGTATAATATCCAAAAGAAAGCTAAATGCTGTGGTAGTTATGGTGAGAAGACAGCATCATTTCATTTCCAGCTGTTATATAAGATGGCTGTGGATGTAAAGAAGGCCATCTCTTCAAATGAGAAACTCACAAAGTAGTCCAAAATTGATTCATCAGCTCATTCAAATGCTTTTCAGGCAGAATGTTGTAATCATACTATGCACTGCATGTGAGCAAAAACAAGTGTGACTGAACTCTTATATGCGATATGAGGTGATGATCTGAGTCAGCCAGCATGGCTTCACCAAGGGCAGATCATGCTTGACCAATTTGATGTCCTTCTATGATTTAGTGACAACACTGAAAGGGCAAATGATGTCATCTACCTTGACTTCTGAAGGCTTTTTACATGGTCCTCACATCCTTATCTCTAAGTTGGGTAGATATGAATTTGAAGGGTGGACTATTCAATGGATAAGAAATTGGTTAGATGGCAGCAGTCAGAGGGTTGTGGTCACTGGCTCTGTATCCAGGTAAAATCTGGTGACAAGTGGTGTTGGCTAGGGGTCCATCTAGGGAACAGTGCTCTTTAACACCTTTATTAATGACACAGACAGTAGGATTAAGTGCACCCTCAGCAAGTTTGCAGACACTAAGCTGGATGGTGCAGCTGATATGATAGCAGAAAGGGATTGCCATCCATATGGACCTGAAAAAGCTTGAAAATGGGTTCACATGAATGTAATGAGGTTCAGCAAGGCCAACTGCATGGTGTTGTACTTGTGTTGAGGCAATCCCAGATATGTGTCCAGGCTGGCAGATGAGTTCATTGAGAGCAGTCCAGTGGAGGACTTGGGGGTTCTGGTAAAAAGCCTGGCATGAGCCAGCAGTGTGCTCTTGCAGTCTGGAAGGCCAGCTGTACCACGGACTGCAACAAAAGAGGGGTGGGTGACTAGTAGGGCAAGGGAGGTGATTGTGTTCCTCTTCTCTGCCCTCTTGAGGCTACATTTGTGTGTCCAGATCTGGGGGTCCCAGTACAAAAAAGATTTGGAACTGATAGAGCAGGTCCAGAGGAGACCACAAAGACGCTCAGAGGGTTGGAGCTCCTCTCCTACGAGGACATGCTGAGGGAGCTGGGCTTCTTTAGCTCAGAAAGGAGAAGGCTCTGGGGAGACCTGATTGTGGCCTTCCAGTACTTGAAGAGAGCTTATGAGCAGGAGAGGTACTAACTTACACAAAAGGGCAAGGCAGAGTGGCTTTAAACTAAAAGAGGAGAGATTTATACTTAGAGGAAAATTCTTTACTCAGAGAGTAGTGAGTCACTGGCACAGGCTGCTTGAAGAAGATGTGGGTGCCTCATCCCTGGAAGTGTAAAGGCTGGGATGAATGGGGCCCTGGTCAGCCTGAGCTGGTGTTTGATTTAGTGGTTGGCAACCCTGCTCCTAGCAGGGGCAGACGTTCTTTAAGGTCTCTTACAACCCAGGAATTTTATGATTCTCTCTAATGATAGAAGTAAGGGTTAAGTGAATAACGTCTTGTGTCATTCCTCTCACAAGAGATTTTTCCTGAGCCTTTGCTTTTAATGGCTTCTTGCCTCAGTGAGCTACAGTACTGCCAAAGTCTTGTGTCCTGCATGTATGGAGTATAGTGAAGTTTCACTCAAAAAAAGTGGGCTTAAATTGGTTGCTCTGGATTGTTTGTGGATTCCTACTTCCTGGCTTCATAGATGGCAGTCACATTTTCAGATCTGCCTGCAAAACCATAACACTGGTAAATAATCTTTGAAAAATGGAGGCTGAGATTCTTGTATGATGTTTGGATTCCAGTAGCTGGCATTTTTAGGTTAACAGTCATGAAATAGATCCTTGATCAAAACACTAGAATTTCCAACTAGAAGAGTGAGACCTGCAAGGAGTGGAGCTGTGATGGCCTTGGAAGACAGGAAAGCAGAATAGCAGAACTGATTAATTTATAGAAATATTATTGTCAGAGAAAGAGACATTTATTCATTTACAGAAACTTCAGAGCTATTGGTAGAGATTATGGGTAGAAGGAAGGGGAAACAAAAATACAGTCCTCCAGAGAGAACTGTAAAGTAAAGAATCTAAACAAACTTGTTCCTTTAGCTTACCTTTAGCTTTTGATGCTCATAATGTTTAAGATTTTTTTTTTTAATTAAGAAAATAATTAAGAAATAACTAAGAAAATATTTAAAAGGGTTCTTTGCAGGGAGGTTTTGAGGAAGAACTTGAAAATATGAAAATATATTTGTTTAAAGTAACTGCCACAAACAGAGAATTCATAAAATAAGAGAGACCTCTTGAGGACTAAGGATGAATTCCCGTAGCTCTGTTCTTAAATATCTTTAATGTCTGTGTAATGTGTCCACCTATTGGTAAAAAAAAAGATAATTGAAGCATTCTTGAGAAAATCTAAGTAAAAAATTATTTGATATTCTGGAGAGAAAATACATGAATATCTATTAGCCAAGTGAACACTTTATCCATAATATTCTGAAAAAAGGTTTAGTAGCCTGCTATTAGAAAAAACAGAAATCCTTAACAGAATGATGTATCTCAGAGATGAAAATGCAACAAATGTAGATAACAAGAAGGTATTTAAGCATCAGGCTTTGTGTGCAGCTTATCTCAAACCATCATATTACCAACTTCAGTGTTGCAGATGAGGTATCAGAGTTCTGAGAAAAATAGGGTATAAGAAATGTGACTTGCAAAATCCAGAACTACTCTGAAATGAAATGAAAGGAAAGTAGTGCTTTTACCCTTGTTTACAGTTGTCTTGTTGAAAGATATACATAATTTTTAATATTTTCTTAAGGCCTTCTAAAGACTTTGTTTGCATATATGTTATCTTCATCTTACAACACAACAAAGGCAGGTAATTCTATTAAGAATACATATGGGGGTGTTGATTCTATTCATCTTAGTGAAAAGAGGAGAGGACAGGAAAGGAGAGGAGAGGAGAGGAGAGGAGAGGAGAGGAGAGGAGAGGAGAAGAGAAGAGAAGAGAAGAGAAGAGAAGAGAAGAGAAGAGAAGAGAAGAGAAGAGAAGAGAAGAGAAGAGAAGAGAAGAGAAGAGAAGAGAAGAGAAGAGAGGGAAGGAAAGGGAAGGAAAGGAAAAAGAAAAGAAAAGAAAAGAAAAGAAAAGAAAAGAAAAGAAGAGAAAAGAAAAGAAAAGAAAAAAAGATAAATTCCAAAGTGTACTTGGTACTTCTCAGAAATAAAATCATATTCTTTTCATGGAAAAGGGAGGTCAAATCCTGGGCAGGATCCAACCCCAAGTTAAAAAAAGAAACAACTCGACACAAAGATGAATGCTCACAGATAAAAGCATGACTGCTTGTTGGGAGGGATGGTAGATAATTGTGTTTGTTTTGTCATTATTATATTTCTAAATATTTTAATAATTTGTTTAAAGAAGCAAGGTGTTTGTCATTCAGTTTCAGCCATATCCTTTTTTAGGGGCAGAATTAATATTATCTGATCTCTTTTTCTGAGCACTCCTGTTCAGACAAGATGTACAGGTGATGTCTGCCATCAGACCAAGACCCATCTTTCTCTCCATTACAAGGAACAGTCTGTTATGTCAGCCAAAATATTCTGCAATAATGCTTTTTCTATGGTATGACTTTTCTTTACTATTAAAAAAAATAATAAAGTAGATATTCTGTCTGGTGGAAGAGAGATGACATTTAATGTCTTTTTTATCTTTATGTTTTATAATCTGTCAAGCATTCTTGTTCAATAGGTAGCAAAGTCAGACTGAGAAAGGAGTGTAGTGGGAGCCTTGATGGCTCAGAAGCTGGGGAAAGGATAACATTTCAGTTGCTTTTGCTTCATAAATTGCTTTTGCGAGAAGAACCAGTGGTGGGAAGTAGAGGCTGTAACCCTGCATTTGGAAACAACAGTTAGAACTACACACAGGTAGAGCCCACGGCCTGTCACTTAGTGCTGCTGCTCAGGCTTGTCCTTCAGCAACAACCCTCTAGTGGAACAGGGTGGGATTTCAGTCGCATGTGGGAAATGTCTTCAGTGTCTTCACACGGCATGTCCCAAGGGATGCTTCTCTTGAGACCTCTCTGACTGCCCCTGAACTCTGCTGCCCTGAAACGCCATAAAGAAAGACAGATGTTTAGCACGCACCCATCCAGAATAACATTTCTTCTGTGTTCCTCAAGGAGTATTCCCACCACATCCATGGGAACCCCGGAGTCTGAAGTTTGTGAGGTGTGCTCCACTCCCAGCATCATGCCTCTGTGAACTTCATTGACATCACATTGAAGATGACATGTGACTGCTCTAGCTTCCCTCTTGCAGCCTCACCTGTTCTGCTGCTCTTTTCTGAGCTTTACTGGCCATTCTGCTTCTGTGGAGAAAATAGGAAATAACAAATTTCTATTAATATGGATTCCTTGTAAAGAAAGCAAATAAAAATCAGCTGCAGGGATCTGAAGCACAAAGGAAAATGGAGTATTTACTTATTTATTTATTTATGTGTAAGAGAAATGGGTGAAGGGACATCTGCAGGCTGATGAATTAAATTGAGATTGTCATTAGCTACTTTTATGATTCCCTTCTCCAGTATATTTCACTGGAGGGATTTATTCGTCCCATCAGAAATAGTGGTGAACCAAAGAAACAGTTTTTATTTCTCCTAGAGTTTAGACTGTTAAGCATTTCACAATAATATCTTCAGAAATTCACTGCTAAGGAATAATGTATATAAATGGACTGACAAGCGCACTGGTAAGGTTAATCTGCAAAGGAGAAAGATGGATTTGGGGTTAAAATAGAACCCAGTAATTGGAGACTCATAAATGATCTTTCTTATTCTGAGAAATCATTTTTTTTTCCTAGGTCACTGTAAACTTAGAGTAATGATAATCAACCTGCATGTTGTAATCTGACTGCAATTATGAATGAATACACATTCCTGGGCTATTATGAAGCTCTGCTGCTAAAAGCAGAATGTTTACAAGGTTGGAGTGATCTCCAGAGCTCATACCGCCTGCCTAATAACCTGAGTGCTCTGCATAGGAGGTGGGAGGGCAGCCTGGCTTTGGGAAGGGAGGAATTTGTTTCTTCCTGCACTTCAGCACATCTTTATAAGTTTGCTAGCACATGGTGGACCAGGGCACAAAAGGCCTCCTGTCTCTTCCCCTCCAATACTTGTTAAGCACAGAACAGAGCGGATGGGCAAGGAGGTTGGGATACATGTGCAGGTATCCCAGCAAAATACCAGCAAAATAAGTGAAGAAAAGAAATAACTTACTGGCCCTGAAATCCAGATAGATTGTGGCGTTGCTACTTCTAGTCCCAAATGGTTTACTGCTCTAGCTGGTCGCTGTTTCCAGCCTGCTGTTCAATGCTGCATTCTTTGCTCTTCAGTCCTATTCCTGGACTTGAGCTTTTGTCTCTCAATCTACCTTGAGTCCATGTGGCTACATTTCCTTGGCACCTTGCAAAGTAGCCATACAGCTTGTTCTTCAAGCTGCAGTGGATGTGGAATGACAGATTCCCAGGACATACTCTGTCAACTGTACACTGAGGCTTAACAGTGAATTTTCTGACACAATCCACCCCTTTTTATTGGTAGGCCAGCAAATAAAAAAATGCAAGACACTTGGTCAATGAACAGAATTTACAGGTGCAACTCACAGCAATGCATGACAGTTAAAATTAACATTTCACCAGGACCTATATATTTCATTAAGCAGAACTTGTAAAGGGCCTTGTGGAAGCACCATCTGCTGATTTGTAATAAAACTGCAAACACCGTGGAAAGTTTCTGCTGTTTGTTCTGTGATGAAACGAGCTCCGTGCTAAATGCTGAACCCAAGGTGCTTCCAGCTTGGATACAGATTTGAATTGGAATGAATTGTTTATCTTGCTCTGCAGTTTATGGAATGCTTTTATTTCCTATGAAAGTTAGTGGAGAAAAACTACTACAACCTGAACTTCTCCTCTGCGCTTTCCAGACCATGTGACGTATCTTCTACGGGGTTGTTCCTGGTACTTTTAATAATGACTCTTCATGATATTTATAAACATTCTAGGAGATTCCACTTCCTGATTACTTACATGATAATTATCCAAAAACAAACCACCTAGGTCTAGCACACGGCCAAGATACAGTATGCCAGCTGAATACACTAGAGTCAAAAGCAATGACTCATTTACAGACCTGTTTTCTACAGTCATTTATAAACAAAAGAAAAAAACATTGTCAGGGAAATAGCGGTTGAATGGATTTTCATAATCCATTCTGTGCAGAACAAAAAGGGCTACATTAAACCTGAAAATGTGAGGGGGATGTGATATTTTGTATAATGAAACATATGTGAGAAGAAGCAGGGCATCCTATTGCATTATCAGATTTCTTTTTTCACGTGGGTAATTATCCTTCATCTTACAGGATTTATTCTGAACTGCTTGAGAGTGGGACATGCATTGTGCTTCAGACTTAGTAAGAATGCTGTGAGCTATGGTGAGGGCTGCTTCGTAACGCTGCAGAGTAATTTTACAGAGAAGGTAAACTGGGACTGTCTTCCTCAGACTAGTTGTATAAATACAATTTGTGGGACTACTCACATGAGTAAAGTGAGAAATATTTGACCCATGATCTTGCATATCAAATATCTTTACATATTATTAACAATCTATAAAGTCAGACATAAAAATGTGACTTGTTAATGCCAAACTTATGTCATGTGGAACAGGAAGAGAAAGAACAGAGTCTTTTCTATATTGTTTGTCAAGACCTTATTCAATAAACTTGTAAGTGGCCCATGGCCATAGGTGCAGATTATAAATTAGCTTGGAGGCAGGTGTTTCCGTGGCTGTAAGGGAACTAGTGCCAACATGTATTCACAGACTGTATCCACAATATCCATACGAAAAGTATGTGCCAGCGCTTGCAATAGACAACAAATGGGAGTAAGCTTGTGATGCTGGAACAAATTTCCTACCTACTGAAACTAAAACTGGGACCATAAATACTACAGGTGGAAGATTATTTTTGATCTCTGCCACTATTAAGATTCCCATCTCAAATGTTTTGCTTGTAATAGTTCTGTTTCGAAATGTAAAAACATGAAAATACTCTTTTTTTCTTATTTGTTCTTTTTGTATCACACACACATGCATATACAGAGGGTAAAAGAAAAGAGAGCAACTTTGGTGCTTTATCTGGGACACAGAATGACTATAGCGGGTTGGTTTGTGCCAGTTTATGCAGCAAGATATCTCTGAAAGAGATCACCTCCACCAGAAGCCTCTGGGGAGATACAAGAAACCCTAGAGTGGACAAATATGGAATAACATGACCAGAGGGAAGATTCTTCATTGCAGTAGTCAGTTAGTTTGCATCTGAAACATGCATCTGTATGCTCGCTGTTACAGAAAAGGGGCCAGTCTGTCTTATGTAACAGCAGTAGTTTTGACCTGTCACAGTGTTTAGGCCTTTTGAATTGTACTAAATTCCCTGTCTTCATTTTTATCTTGAAGCAATGAGTTTAGCACGTAAGTAGAGCAGGTCTTTTCATCACTGTTAAAAACAATTCCTGTTCTGTTGGCAGTGTGAAATAAAAGCATATCACTCTGGTTTGAAGCAATCTAGATTCTTATCTCCAATCATTTTCAGTATTGAATTCTCCAGAAAGGAGCATGAGGAAATATGTGAGGTTCACCACGGAAGTCTTGGTGTGCAAACTGGAGCTCCTTCTCTCAGTACTGCTGTTGTGTCCCAGTGGTGGCACATAGCATGGTAGATGGGGAGGCTGACATGGCATGTGAGAAGGCACATGTGTTAACCTCCTTGCCAGCACCTCGCTCTTGGATCTGCTGCACTCCAGGGTGAGCAGAGGATGCTTTCCAGGGCTGCATAAGCTTTTGCAATTCATCACTTGGGCTACGGAAGGGAATCATTTTTTAACATTTAAAAAGTGTTGTTTAACATTTAAAAAGCCTTTCAAGTTTAAATGTCTTGTTTTAAGAGGACAAAGGATAAATAAGATTATTATTGTTTGTTGTCGGATTGCCTGGTGACCATCTGCAGAGCTCACTGTGGTAGCCATGGTTCAAATTTAGAGTAATAGAGCGGCCCTAATTCTAATGCCTTAACTTTGAAATAGACCAGACAGATGAAGGGTAGGAAAAGTGACAGAAAACGCAAGAAAATAAGAATATTCAATTTACATCCCTCATAACATTTCATTTCATGATATAGGCATCACTATGGCTGCCTCTTTCTTATTTATTTCCAAGATAAATTGTCCTAACATTTTAAGAGTGTGGAATCCTTCTCATGGCTATAACATGCCCATCAGCTGTCTCCAGTCACTTTCTATTTCTGTTACATACTTGCTTAGGTGGAGTAATCAGAACAGAGTGCAATATTCCACATGAGGGCATAACACTGATTTACATAACAGCATTCAGATATTTTCAGTATTATTCCTTATTATTGCTGACCAAAAAAAATTGAAACCGATGTTACTCCTGAGCTGTACACAATGACATCTAGACGTTTTTCATCAGTATATAAGCAGCACAGAAATAGTTCAAATTGTGCTTTCATCATACATTGCTTCCTGAATGAGCATAGTAATATTATCTGCTTATGCTCTGCAGAAAAAAATGAAGACACATTTTTTCACAGTGGACTGTGTAAACAGTGATGGCAGAAAGCTTTCCTCTCAGTAGGATTACAAAAATGGTGCCTTTCTGACAAATACATTTCTAAAACTATTCTTTGCTGGATTTTTGGATGTGGAGAAGTTTCCAACGTGAGGAATGGCTGCAGAAAGCCAGCACCTAGGCAGCTATGCACTGCTCTTCATCTTTCATAAGGAAAGCTTATCTCTAGGCTTGACCCTGAATGCGTTGGACACACAGGCTTGGTAGCTAGCATCTTCCCTCTCCCTTTTCTGGAGCTCTGTCTGAGGACAGTCAGTCACACTGTCTGTGATTTTTTTCTGACCCAATTTTAAAAAGGCACTTTGGGTAGCTTTCCATTTAAATAATGCAACAGGCTTCATCTAGCAGTTCCTAAGGCTAGTGCAAGCACAGCGTTTTGTCTGTAAAATAACCCAGCCAAATGCATTCAGTCCTGTGGTTTTTGCTGTGACATATACATATGATTCAAAAGCCACTCCTGCACCCCAAAAAACAGCACATAACAAAACACTAGCTGACATACCCTTGTGGAATAGTTGTATCTGCAGAGATCTAGAATACAGTTTCCCAAGTAATATAGCATGGGTGCACCTGCACATACCCTTTATTTTATGTTTTGAGGCATGAAAAAGAATTCTGCGGAATCCCATATTGAGACGCATGGAGCTGGCTGCAAGGCAGTGCAGACCTATATGAAATGAGAAAGTCTGAGGGCTTTGTGAATTTTTATAGAGGATCAGAAGAAAGCTGTTTGGCACAGGTGTTTCTGTAATTGTGATACACTGGAAAAATTCAGCATGTTCAAGGGCACTTATGCTGTGGCTACAGCTGTTCTAACTCATACTTCTGCACGGACGATGTGGTGTTTTAGTGTTAGCACACTTGGTTGTGTAATATAAAACAACTAGGAAAGTGAATATTAGTTAGATCAAGGTGGTGCTCTTTCTTTGTTTTTGTTGTATGATTTTTTACCCCTCTCATAGAAATAGCAAAAGCTGTGTCATTACAAGTTGGTTGGGCTGGGGAATGGCCAGGTATCTCCCATGACCTCTGCTTGCCCCAGCTGTTCATCTTCACAAGCCTCTTGGTTTCCCTGAGATAGGAAACCTGAAGCACAAATACAGAGGAAGAGGCTTGGTGATGGAATATTTTATTTTTCTTTCCCTCCCCATACTGAGGTATGGTAGTAAAGGTTATTCTTCTGCACTCTGACTTGATGCTTGCTTCAGTGCTTTTAAAAGAAAATGGATCTTGAACTCCAAGGTGATTGTATTGCACAGAAATAGTTCAAATCTCGCAGGGCTGTATTGCATGCATCTGGCAATCCAAATTCATTTCAAAACTGCCACCAGCATTACCATTGCTGTTACTATCTCACATTTCTCTATATGTCAACAGGTTTATTTCATACAGAAAATCTGTGTATGGTTATTGCCCACTGGAGAGTCCTGTCTATGCTGAAAAAGGCATCTATGCAGTCTATGCTTAGAGCTGCAGCCTGCTGCTACTGGGATGGCTGCTGGCTCAGGAAGACTTGACTGATCCTCTGCCTGGCTGGCTTCTCTGGTTGATAGTGATGCTATCAACCACTATATTGATCCTAGCAAGAAATCCTGCATCTGTAGTCACTTAGGCATTTTCACAGTAGTTCAAGAGAAATTTAACTGTGGGTGGAACAGTTTACTCCTACTAGTTCTCCAGAATAGTGAAGCTACTGAAATACACTCCCTTATACAGAGTATTTTATGGTTAGATTACCAAGTGTCTAATACTATTGAGTCACACCACAGCCTTTTCAGAGATATTGATAGGGGTTATTTTTTTATTCCAGCTATTTCCTTTTGTGAAGCTTGTAAAAATTTAGCATCTCTGAGCATTACTCCACTCTGTCATGTTGGCTAATGAAATTGGGTAACGACTTAGGAAACTTTGAAGGATGGCCAGAGTTGGTGAAAGAGACACACAAATGCAGATACAGATGCACATACACACAGAGAGGTCACTGTAATTAGGCTAATAAGCTTAATTTTGCTGGAAAAAGAGGTTCAAAAGATAAAAAGAATGAGTAATGTGTTGAAAATTATGGGGCAAATTCTGTGGTGTAAACAAGAATTCCAAGCTTGAGTTAGATCTGATTCCTCTGATTCTTCTGGTTCTCCTTTTTTCATGAATCTTGATGCAATTTTTTCATGAAACTTGATATAATAATTTTGGTGTCATTCATTATCTTATTCACACTGGTGTAAGTGAACAGTGAATCAGACACAATGGAATGAGCAGAATGTCTTTCAGTAAGGCATTCTGCTGTTACAATCAGCAGTGAGACATACAGGAAAGGTACATATTTAGACAGTTTTAATATAAAATCCATCATCATTTTGGAGGCCAAGCCTTTTGCAGGAACTTCAATGGAATTATGCCAATTTATGCCAGACACTTAGCAATGAAGGATTTCTAACTTCCTGATGCTCCTAGTGCTCACTCTACTTGTTTGTTATACTTTTAGTGACACTTGACAGACTTCATACAATGGGTGGAATTAATAACACCTCTTTTGGAAAAAAATTAGACACTTAGTATAGGTCAGTTGGCTAGTCTCCTGAGGAAGAGAAAGAGGAAGTGGGTAGGCATTTCTGTGATTTTGGAATGGAAGAAATTGCTCTTAGGAGGTAGCTTGATAGATAGCCTAGACTACTACTTGATACATCACATTTGCATTGTTAATGTGAGGTAAGGTGAAAGTTACCTAGTGCCTCTGCAGATACACATGGTCTATGTTGAAAAGGTCTTTTCCAGAGATTACCATGCTTGAAACTTCTTACTATTTAGGAATAATCCACCTACTAGCATGTGCTTGGATATTTTATTCCTGGAGCACAGGAAGTTCTGCACCAATGTGCGCAAGAACTTCTTTACAGTGGGGGTGACGCAGCACTGGAACAGGCTGCCCAGGGAGGTTGTGGAGTCTCCTTCTCTGGAGATATTCAAGACCTGCCTGGATGCCTACGTGTGCGACTCGGTGTAGGGAACCTGCTTTGGCAGGGGGGTTGGACTCGATGATCTCTGGAGGTCCCTTCCAACCCCTGTGATTCTGTGATTCTGTGATTCTGTGATTCTGTTATTCTGTTATTCTGTGATTCCTTTTCAAAGATTTGCAAGGTGCTGATGAAGGAAGAATTCCTATTGTTGGTATTTGTTTCACTGATGTTATAGTTCTCATATGTGTAGCTGGTAAATTGAGTGATCACCCTTTACAAGATATTCCTGTTATCCAAAGATTCCTAGACTTCTATCACATTATGGATATGAATAACCATTTATTATTTTTCCCAGAGAACAGTTCTTCAATGAAAAGACTTTGAGAAACTGTTTTTTTGTCAGGATATTGTCTCTCCCTTGAAAAATGTTCCTCATTAGATGGCTCCATCAATCTTATGAAAGAGTGATAATATCTTATCATCACACAGAAGATAACATCCATCTTCCACTTGTCTCATGGTTCATACCATTTGTATTTGCTGTTTACAGGTTACAGGTTGACAGATATGCATTTCTCCTTTTTGGAAAAGGGTAGTGTGTCTTAAGTATTTAAATGGTATAGAATGATATTATGTTCATTTAATGGACATTTCTTCTAGAAGATTTCCCGTGTTTTGAATTAAAGGGTCTTATGAATAATCAAATAAAATCATAACTTGCTTTTACACTAACAACAAAAGTTACTAATAATAGCATATCATTTATTAAGCCTGTAAAAACCATAGCAGACTGGTAATCTTACTGCTGATGATAAATTGAACTTTTCCATTTCTACCTTTACACTAATAAGGAAGGAGAATTAAAGACCAGCTATTCTGTATGGGTTGAAAATTCTACCTTTTCCTGGACTGGAAATATGTTATTTTCTATTTTTATTCCTTTAGCAGACATGCATATAAAAAGGCTACCTCTTATTTTATGATCGTATGGTTGGTGCACACATCTGTTCATTCAGCTGTATTGTACTGTTGTTCTACATCTGTCTTCAGGGCTTTACATTAAAGTCAAATCAGTCCTGCAAAATCAAATTTCTCTCTTTCAGTTTTTCTCATCTTCTTATCTATCTTCTAGATTTACTGGATTACTTAAATTCATTCAAAGTTGTGATTTAATATCAAATATTCTTAAGGCACTCCATAATAAAAATATCCTTACATGCTTTACATGCACAGAAATATGGAAAACAAATTAACATTTCATTTAGTCCAGGAAGGCTTTGTTTCACTATGCCTATAATGCTCTCTTCCTAAAGAAAACCTTTCAGAACTTGAACTTAGTATCTTATCATATAGTGAAATCAAAACTAACTACTCTGTAAGTGAGTTTGTGACAGTACAGAAATCTATGTTGTAAGAACATAATCTGCTTACTGGTTACAATAACACTAAGATATTTGCCCATGGACATTTAAAAAAGATGCAAATGTGGCTGACTTTCCTGTCTTCTCTTGTGTGATCCGACATACAAGGAATATCCTAGAAGAATCGATGAAGTGAATGATAATAAAGTCAGAGCAGAAACCTGACCTCTGAGATGACAAACATGCTATGAATGCTTTGATAGAAAGGCAGAGAAGCAGGCAAAGCTCAGATACTAAGGGTTTTGTGGAAGGAAGGCTGCAGGCAAAACTGAAAAGACAATCCAGAGAAGATAATTAGAAAGAAATGCTGTCAACATTGACACTGAGGTGGGACGGAAGGGAGAAGACGAGGACCTACAGCTGTGTGGAGTGGAAGGGATAAAAAATCTTGATGTTGTGCACAAGATATTCAAAATAAGCTGTGAACTCTGAGTCATGTGTAGAATAGATCCTGGATGTTTGGAGTCCTAGCAATTGCAGAAGTGGCAGGAGTTGTGGGCAGGTGTTTTTTTTAAAACAGGATGAAGTGAAGAAAGACAGAACTTGAGGGATTTTATTAGTAAGAAAAGAATTATTTGTTTTCAAGTGCATTATTGACAAAATATCAAGATGTTCAAACAGAAATTGTTGACTGGAGGGGTTTGGAGAAAGAGGAGTTGAAGATGTTATCTTCATTCTATTTAAAGATGAGTGACTGGAGAGCAAGTAACTTATTTTACAAACATTTTATGGAGCCAACAAAGAACAAAAGTGGGGGAAAACTCAAAAGGTCAAAAACATGGCTGAAGTCAGTGCTTCTAAAATATGGTCAAAGAAGGAATAAATTTGATGGTTTGCCCATAAACTGACATCAAGGCTTATAATATAAACTGAGGCCTGAGTAGGTATACTATCTGTGAGGCTGCAGATTTCCTTCCATGCATACATTTACCTTGATTACAAGCATTTGAGTCTTGAATTACACTCTGAGATCCAGACTCATTCTGCCTAAACATCAGTAGGAAGTATTTGTGACAATGCCAAACTGAGGCTCGTAAGTCAGGGCTCCCATCTCTTCATGTTTCGTCTTTTTTCAGTCAAATTACACAACAGATTGCCATTAATGGCAATGGAAATGGAGTAGATCCAAAATCTCAGTGCTGCATGGAGAGGGCATGGTTCCATTTATGGACAAGATGTGGGATCCTGCATCTGCTTGTCATACTTTATTTAAGTGAGATCTGGATGTTTAACTGCATCTTGTAGTGCAGTTTCACTACAATAACTGAGTTAGTTATATGATTTACTATCACAGATTTTCCATTTATATTCTTTAGAAATGACCCAAAGATGATATGTCACTTCCTAAGTCCATAAAGGCTGGAAATTGTTTTATACTGAAATCAGCAGAAAAGGAGTGGGGAGGAAATGGAAAGAAAATATGGATGAATCTTTCACAGAGTGCTAAGAAACCAACCATCAGCGACATGGCCACCTCAGAAAAAAATCTCCGAAATGAATTACCAGGATCCTGCATTATTATTGAAGTCAAGGAAGAATATCTCTAATACTACACAACACATTTGTTTTCACATGTTTAATTAGATTTTGTAGAAGTGGAAAAATAAAATGTTTTTATGGAACTACTATCAGTCTGTAACCCAAAACCTCTTTCAATATTTAAATGCTTTAATATAAACCATTCATACTGGGCTAAGTAAAAAAATATGTACAAAATGGAAATAATCCAGATAATATGCTCTGCTTTCTTTTACAAGCTTCAAATAGCTTCCATTTTACTAACAGTTTTATATCTGTATAAATGTAGGTAGGAAATGTTTGTAACATAAAGATGTATGGTATGGCCATTTTTTACATTACTGATTGGGTTGTATGCCAGCAATATGTTAGGCACATTATACCTCAGTCTGACTGACTGTGGTGCTGATTTCTTTGTAGAGTCATTGGAGAGTTACAAACAGCCATCTTTTGAAAGCCATCAAGGACTACTTTGTCATCAGACCAGTTGGATCACATCTGGACTGCTTGTCATCAACTTGCTGCAGTTGTTTATTGTGTTGTCACAAGTGTAGAAAAGCCTTTTCTGAGGTTTGGCCTTTAGCTGATTACATAGCATCCATTGTTAATCCAGAGGAAGATTGTGAGAAGGCCTAACGGGTAAGCAAATAAAGATTTGTTTTGAGGGGAACAGCAAAAAGGTAAAGATGTACTACGCAAAAGTTTTGTAATACTTTGAAACGTCTTTGGAATCTCTCAAGTCACAGGCAAAATTTGTTTTTAAAATCAATTTAATTAATTCATCCCACATTGAACATTGTCTTATACTGAAAGTAGTTCCACCAAAAGGCATGACACTCTTTATAGGGCAAACAGAAGTGCTTTGAATTGTATCCTGTGGTTGACACAATTGTACCACAGACTGCGGCATGCGTGTAAATTCACACTAGAACCTGTGCTTGGCATCTTGAGTAATATTTCAGAAAGACTTCCTTCTGAGTTCAGACAGCATTTTTGTATGTCAAGTCATGTATCTGACTTTCTGGAAAGAGGTCAGACTTGGTGAATCTTCAAAATGAATAGCTAGATTTTTTGTGTGTTTTGTTTAGAAATATAGCTATATTCTACTTGTCATGCATTCCCTGGACATATACAAGGCAGTCTTAGAATCTTACAATACAGTCTTACAATCTTCCTGTCACTTTGGATTGTCTTGATTATCCTCACATGCCTACAGTGAATACTGAGATTAACATCACAAAAATTTATTGTCTAAACCTCAGGCACTGTTCTGAGTCAATGATTCTTCACCTTGCAAGATATCACAGCGGATGAGGAACTCCAGATGACAAAAAAACAAACCATGTTGTTAGATGGGAGAAGCTAAACCAGGCAAGGCAAGAGTACATGTGAAGAAAGAGATGCTTAATGAACACTCTATAGAAGGAACTTTCTGACTGCAGCCTTGACTGACTTCAGAGTCTCTGATGGTGATCTCTGGCAGAAGGGCTCTCCAACAAGTGTACATCAGCCCAGGAGGACTGCTGTTGACCATGTAGGTTGCAAACACTGAGAGCAGGAAAGCCATCCAAACAAGGTCAAGGACTGTGACAAATGCTTTTTCATGATGCTTTGTCCAGATATTAGTACCTTCTCCCTTCTAAACTTTTCTCCCCCTAAACCTAAATGCATCTAAGGGCATATGTTAAATAACCTTATACGTAGTTAAACATGGGGAAAGGGCAACTTCTTCATTTATATAATAAATTTGAGTGTGGGTTGAAAGAACTCACAAGCTGGAAGGACATAGTTTACATTTCACTCCACAATGTTGTTAAAATGAGTTTGGAGGCAAAACTTACAGACCTCTACAGGAAATAATTTTTCTACTATTTAACTTACATTTACAACATCCTTTGAGATCTTCAGAAAAACAAAACAAAACAAAACAAAACAACAACAACAACAACAACAAAAACCAAACCCACACACAAAATAAGTATTCAGAATCATTTGATGAACTGTAAGGCATGTTGTTACATTATTAGTGTATTGGAAATATCTCAGGTGAGTAGGAACCTAAGTTGAGAAATACTCTTCATCTTGCAGTTTCAACTAGAAGATATGATTTTGTTGAACAGATTTCTTTAACTGCTATATATCTTCCATGTTTCCAATAAGGGAGGGCAGGAAGTCAGAAATGAATCATACTATTTTGGGATGAACTGCTTTCTCTGACGACGTCTGATTACAAAGCTGGGCCCACTTGTTAGCAAGAACATCACAGAGGATGTTTTCAAGTCCATCCTCTTATTAATCACTTCTTAGTTCTTGTAAATAATCCACGCAAGTACATTCTTAATACGTCACAGGCACGCTAATGAATAATTGGCAGTTTAGCTGTGAGAAATGTAGCCCAGAAATTTTTATAAGTATTTTCTCAACATTGTGGACCTTTTATTTCCGTTCTATTTAACTTGTCTGAGGCAATTGTTTTGAATTTTAGAGCCTTGATTCCAAACACTTATTTTTTGCAGTTATTCTAAAATATATTTCCACCCCCAAAAAAGGGCCTTATTCAGGCAAGCAGGCTTTTAAAAATCAGGAAGCATGTATAAAAAGAAATCTATTAAAAAACATTTGTCTGGGTTCACATTGATATTTTTACTGCAATTTTTAAAAACTGTTGGTATTTTAATGAGTTTTCTTTTTTTCTTGTCCATCTGCTTCTTCCACTTGATTTTGCAGAAAAAGATATAAATCCCGCATTTATGACATCATAGTTTGTTGCCATGGAATTTACTATGCTATTACAAACACACTGTTGTGATTACATGACAGCTTCAAATCAGAGGATAAAATACTTTCCCAGTGAGAAAACGCGTCTTGGAGTTAAGAAAATATGAGTAGGAGAAATAAATCACTCTTTTTAAGTGCTGAGCACCAGCCTGATGCTATACAGACTTGGAATGAAGCATTTTTTAACTTCATGGAGCTCACAAGCTGATGTAGACAGAGGCATTACAGGGGAGTCTTGCAGTATGCCTGGCAGGAATATAGGCATGAAGCAGTTACGAGAATGACTGTTGTTACAGTTGGGTTGCGGGAAGGGGCTGGTGAAATAATAAAAAACATGAGAGAGTTTGAGAGCCACTG